AGTTTGATGCCAATCACCCATCACTGGAGCAATACGGGTTCAAATCATTTCTGGGGTGATGGGATGTGCTGAGTTTGGGGGTTTTGATGTTTGTTTTGCCTTGTCTACCTAGTAACTGAACTGATTAGAACAAGGCAGCCTGTCACCTGTATGGGGCTTTTATTTCATTTTAATAAAATTTCTAAAAATAATTTAATGTTGTTTTTCCTCTTAGTTTTAACTACTACAGGATCAGTGTAGGAAAATATTTTTAGTGTGCCATCTGATATCAAAACTATGCACCTTATTTTATTAATACCACACCTGAGAAAGTACTGGTTATGTGCTTTAGTACTCAATGTAGTCATTGATACTAAAGTTTGTCTGTATGCATTCTATAAAATGATAAGTTTCAGTTTCGAGAAGGAGCTTGTTGGGTTATTTGCTTCTAACAGTGATGATATCTCCTCCCACACTCAACTACTTACTGATTTCTTACTACTTACTTCTTCATTCATTTGAAAAGTGTTTAAGGAATCCTCATCACTCGCCAAATTGTTATGGATCTGTAAGAAAAACAAGACAGACTCTCCCTTAAATTATTGCAGTTCAGTGGGAAGAGACATTCACATACAGCTAATTCCTCTAGAGTGGGATGGATGCTAGAGGTACATTTGGAAAGAGGAGGAAAAACTTTCTTAAAGGAAGAAGGTTGGCTGACTCTGGAAGAGCTGTAGTTGAAGGTCTCAGGACTCCTAAATAACAGGGAAGTTTTGGAAGAATTTAAAGTTGAGTCTGGATTCTAAGGTACCAAAAAGAAGGGGAGTGGCAGGAAATCAAAGATCAGGCCCTGAAGGACCCAGAGTGAGAGATTTGGGGACTTTGATTTAGCCCTATATATGTTGAAAAGTTATTGAGGATTTTTCAGCAGGGAGTGACACACTTGTGTTTTAGAAATATAATTTAGCTCAGCAGTGGATGATGGGAGAGAGCTGAGAGACAGAAGAGGAAGGGTACTGTCCAAGGCCCTGCTTGAGAAGAGCAGGCTGGGAATTCTGGCAATGAGAATGCAATTCAAGGAGGCAACGGAAGAGTCTCCTTTTCTCCACTGAGCCTCCCTAAGCACACTGGTGACCCACAGCCCCTCACCTCTGCCAGGGCTCCAAAGCATCCACCTCCACTGCTGATTACAGTCTCTGCAGATGAGCTTTGCCAGAACACCCTAGAGTGTTCCCTGGTGGCCTGGGCAGCCCCACCATGTGTTGTCCAAAGTGGGACTCACTTCACAAAAGCATGTTCTTTCTGGCCAGGGAAAGTGCTTATGGAGAGTAAAATCAAAGAAAGAAGTTAGAGGATTTCTGTAGGAATTCTTGAGAACTATGGACAACTTCTAACAGAGTTAGAAGGTCAAGCTCCAGCTTGCAGAGGGAATGGGCTTGGGACCAGGAGCAGAGCTGGCAGGCAAAGAAGGCACAAGGCCATTGAGCCCCACAGGACAAAGTCAGCCTGCAGCTGGGATGGAAGGAGGGAGGACGTACTTTGAAAGGTGTCTGCTCTCCTAATCGCCAGGAAATATCAGCTTTTTTCCTAAAGTGATTATAGGCTCTATGTATAAAATTCTACCAACAGTCTCCTTATAATTGCATACAGGTCAAGTTCTTCTCTCCTTAGGTTCCTCTCTCTTTTGCTCCATGGTTTCCTCTCTTTGTTCCAAACCGTTTCTCTTGCTCATGTTACCCTAAGCAGAAGCTCTTGTTCAAGATGCATCTGTCTTGGGTGGAGGATGGAGAGGGCATCCTTTGACCATTATCAGTAACTTTCTAGTTTCTAATCATTTCCTCTTGAATTCAAGTTTAAGAACTAGGAGCCTACTTAGTTGGCCTTCTTCTAATCCACAGGGCCAAGTCTACAAGGCAGGAATTACCATCCATTGGCATTTCCCAGGCAGAGAGCAACATGGTTATTTTAGGAGGGGGATTTGTTTAGTTTTAAACGTTTTTGTTTTGGCCACAAAAGAAAGAAGATCCTCCCTGGATCCTTCTGGCACATCCTGAGGAAGAGCACTGTTGTGATGGATGGAAGAGAAGGGGATTTTCTGCCACTGCCACACAAGGCGTGGCATGGATCATTACCCATTTCCCAGAAGGTCCAGGGGACTTCCAAGGGAAGCCCATGAGCTGGCAAAGTAAGCTCTACCTCTTCAGGAAACAAGCTATAAATTCTAGGAGTCACATCTTCCTCCTCTAAAAGCTATTCTCAAATATCTCTGGAGCTCTGGACATAGAGAATGGTTTACGAGCAGTATGAAGGCTGCCTGGGCAATAGATATCAAAACTTAGCATGCACATACTCTTTGACTTGCCAATTCCACTTCAGGGTATTTAGTTTACGTGTGCAAAGGTATGTGAACATAAAGGTCATTACTGAGGCATCTGAAATGGTAAAAGACTGCAAAGCAAGCCAAAACCCATCAATAAGAAAATGAGTTAAATAAGTCATTGTGTATCCATATAATAGAATCTGTGTAGTAAAAAGGAATGAGGAAATGCCTTATATACTACCAGGGAAAGCTTCCCATAAGACATGTTCACAAGTTAAAAAAAAATGTGCATCACAGTGGGAATAACTTACTATTTTTTTGTGTTTTTTTTTAAATAATTTTTTATATTTATTTTTTAGTTGTAGTTGGACACAATACTTTTATTTTATTTATTTATATGTGGTGCTGAGGATCGAACCCAGGGCCTCACACCTGATAGGCAAGCACTCTACCACTGAGCCACAATCCCAGCCCCATATTTTTTGTGTTCTAAAGAGGGAAAAAATTAAGAAAATATATACATTTGAACTTTTTGGGGAATGCATAAAGCAAAAGAAATTACACATAAAAAAAATAAACCCAATTGCTATGTTAGGGACAAGTTGAGAAATGGGCAGATGGGGGACAGGTTTTGGAGGTAGATTTTTCACCATATCCTACAAGCTATATAAATACTAACTGTTAGTAAATAGAGAAGAGGTTACCAGTTCAGCAACTAGTAAATTCTTGTTCTTTTTCCCTTGGGGGAAAAAAAAAGATGTGACCCTTTAAAAAATATATCATTATCCCTATTTACAAGTAGGTCTTTCTAAAATGTGACTACAGACTTCCCTTATAGACACAACTGCTTGTCAAAAAAATTTCCCCTTCTCTGTCATGTGTGTTAAAGACTGGGTGTGACAGACAAGGCTGCTGACTGGTAAGCACTCCGTATCTTTTCTTCTGCATGCAGAATCTTAGGAATGCCCTGTTTTAAATTCTGAGTCTATGGAATATCCATGAAAATAATATTTTTCAAAACAATTTGAACCATGTGAGAATTACCTATCAAAAACCTTTTTTTAGATGGATGCAGTGGTGCTCACCTGTAATCCCAGTGGCTCGGGAAGCTGAGGCAGGAGGATTGTGAGTTCAAAGCCAGCCTCAGCAATTTAGCAAGGCACTAAGAAACTCAGGGAGAACCTGTCTCTAAATAAAATACAAAACAGGGCTGGGAATATGGCTCAGTGATCGAGTACCCTTGAGTTCAATCCCTAGTACCCCAAAAAACAAAAACAAAATCAAACACTTTTTTAAAAACTTGGTGATAAAACTCATCACCAGGAAAATAGCAAACCCTACATCTAATTCCAGTTACTATCCAGAAATAGATTCTCTTCTATATAAAAACTAAAAGGGAGAATTTCTTGGGTATATAGGGTTATGCTAATTAGCAACTTGCTGCTAATAATATTTGTATTATATATAATAGCTATTTTATCTCTCAATTGTTATTTATATCAAGAAGTTACCCAAAATGATCTATGGTCATGTGGGAAAGAGTTAAAATCTCCAAAGGAAAAAAATCATATGAAGCAACCCCTGAATGTCACAAGAATCAGGGTTGCTTCCAGTCTATATGTTTTTTTGATGCAAAATAGAAATCCTTTCTTTAAATATTTTATATCTAGCAACTGGAAAACTATCTTATAATATTTACCTTGTTGGACCAAGATACTTCGCCATCACCTACAGAACTTTTTATAATAAGTTTCTAAATCCTTGATGAGATGGCATGCCCTAGGGTCATGCAATGCACTATCTGCTCGACCATACTGAGCAGCCCTGAATAGGTTGTGTCGAGTGGCCAAGCATTCCACAAGCAGCAGCAGTGACAAAATGGCCATAAGGATCACTATTACAGCTGAGTGTTGCTTGGCACACTTTCAGAGTCAGCTGATAAGGAGACAACAATGCAACTGAAATAGATAGATTGTTCATTACCTATGCAGACCCAAGGTCACCATTGGATCAGTTCTCCCATGTCCTTAGTCCCATAAGATGAGACGAAATCAGAGAGAACCAGATGACAGGTATCATGGGCATCTGGTTCTCTGCTGAGGATACAATTCTAAAGCCAAGCAGTTTTATAACTTGCAGCTCCATTTTTCAGGGAACTGAAGTGGAAAGTCCTGCGCTTAATGAAAAATGGGGGAGGAGATGACAAAAGAGCTTGAGGCAATCTCCCTCAAGTTGGGGGTGTTGGTTGAGAAATGTCCTCAGGGTGTTCCTTGCTGGGTGGCTCCTCTCCTTAAGCTTCAGGAGAATCACAAGGCATCCATGGGTTAGACTGAAATTAAGCTTTGCCTCTGTGGCCTGTGTGAAGGCATATAGCCACCAGGGTGCCCGCTGCAGTCATTTCTCCTATGTTGATTAAACTTGGCTGAGTTCAGGAATTCTTGGTTACCCAAGAAAGACCAGGGGGAGGAATTAAAGACCCCAAAATATATAAAACTTATTGACACACTAACTGCAAGGAACAGGAACTGGTCAGGACAGGAATTTGTGCAACTGGTTGCACAAATGTTCTAGCTTTCCACGTTGCTCCTTGGAAGGTGTCAGGGAGAAGGTGGCTTTGGCTAGAAAGAGAATGGAAGGCAGGTACCAAAACAGCAGCCTGATTCAGTCCCTTCTGCTTGTTCCTTAAAGGTCATCCTCTTCAGCACAATGATATTGCTCAAAAAAATGAGGCTCCTGCTGTTCCTGGTTTCCCAGGTGGCTGTCTTTGCTCTCTTCTTCCACATGTATAACCATGGCGCCCTGTATAGAAAGGAGGAGCCCAAGCCTGTGCATGTGCTGATCCTGTCTTCCTGGCGCTCTGGCTCTTCTTTCGTGGGGCAGCTTTTTGGGCAGCACCCAGACGTCTTCTACCTAATGGAGCCAGCCTGGCACGTGTGGATGACCTTCACCGACAGCACTGCCTGGAGTCTGCACATGGCCGTGCGGGATCTACTGCGTTCCGTCTTTCTGTGTGACATGAGTGTCTTTGATGCCTACATGAAACCTGGTCCCCTCAAACAGTCCAGTCTCTTCCAGTGGGAGCAAAGCCGGGCACTGTGTTCCCCACCTGCCTGTGACTTCTTCCCCAGGGAGGAGATCACCTTCCACGCTCACTGCAAGACCCTGTGCAACAAACAGCCCTTCGCCGTGGTGGAGAAGGCCTGCCGCTCCTACAGCCACGTAGTACTCAAGGAGGTGCGCTTCCTCAACCTGCAGCCCCTCTCCCAGCTGCTGATAGACCCTTCCCTCAACCTGCACATCGTGCACCTGGTCCGGGACCCGCGGGCTGTGTTCCGTTCCCGAGAACACACCACAGCAGACCTCATGATTGACAGTCATATTGTGATGGGGCAGAATTGGCAGAAACTCAAAAAGGAAGACCATCCGTACTACACGATGCAAATCATCTGCAAAAGCCAGCTGGACATATACAAGGCCATCCAGTCCTTGCCCAAAGCTCTGCAGAAGCGCTACTTGCTCATCCGCTATGAGGACCTAGTCCGGGCCCCACTGGCTCAGACTTCCCGGATGTATGAATATGTGGGGTTGAAATTCTTGCCCCATCTCCAGAACTGGGTGGTTAACATCACCCGGGGCAAGGGCATGGGAGAGCATGCCTTCCACACCAATGCCAGGAATGCCCTCAACGTTTCCCAGGCTTGGCGCTGGTCCTTGCCTTATGAAAAGGTTTCTCGACTTCAGGAAGTCTGTGGTGATACTATGGATGTGCTGGGCTACCTCCAGGTCAGATCCAAACAAGAACAGAGCAACCTCTCCCTGGACCTTCTGTCTTCCTGGAAACCCTCTGAGCGAGTCTACCAGGGGGGAGAAGGCTCTGTCCCCACCTGGTTCTAACCTCAGCCACATTCTGTGAATGCTTCTGAGCCTTAACTGTGTCTGCAGTTGTGCACATTGGGTGTGAGTTGTGCCCACACGTGCTCCAGCAGAGAATTGTGCTATTTTCCTGTGCAGAAAAGAGACTCAGAGACCTGGTGTGAGCAGCATATCCCTTCAATTACATCGGGGATTGCCTCTCTTCTTGATCTTCCTATCTGTGAATACCTCAGAGACTTGGTGGCCTGGAGGCCCATTAGACACCAAACAGTATCAGTGGAGTAAGTCCATAAACGTCCCTGTTTGAATTTTACCCACTGGGAAGGGGAGAGAAAGTAAAAGCCAGGGAAGTGGGTCTTTCACTGAAGAGTTCAGAAGCACATTCCACAGAGAGACAGTTCCCAGCGGATTCAAAGAGGGAATCAGGAACAGGGTTGGGTGATTACCTATGGGTTTAGCCAGAACAACTAGCAGCCATCACAAACCCTAAACAGACTCTGTACAACAGGGCAAGTTCTGAAGTGCAGTGGATAGCTGGGCTCTGTTTGGATGTCATTTTCCCACAGCATTTCCTATCACATGAAGACTTTGATCCAAGAAGCTTCCATCCATTAATACTAAAATTCCAAAATAAGATTCTGTTTGGAATTTTCCCTTTCTATCTGTAGTAAATGTTCATCCTTACAGGAGCCTAACCTAAGAATATAATCATCTTTATAGATTTTTATATGTTTGTTATTATCTATGTATATAAACCACATATATAAAAAATTGCCACAATAATATTTGGTGTCAGATGATGAACTAAGCCTACATCCTCTTCAGCCACTTAGCCCTTTCCTGTGTAAGGCATAAGTTATAATAAAGCCAAATGCATCACCCTAGGATCTGAGCAAATAATTCTTTTACTCTGATCCTTCAGCCAGAAGTCCTCAGTATGAGTATGTGCCTCACCTGACTTTTTTAATGTTTTAATTGTCCACATCTGAGAGACCTTTTCATTTCATCTTTTTGTTTACAACGTCTTCTTTTTGCACACTGGGGAACTGAACCTAGGTGAGCTACCATTGCTACCACTGAGCTACACTCCCAGCCCTTTAAAAATATTTTTTGAGGGAGGGTCTTGCTAAGTTGTCCAGGCTGGCCTGAAACGTGCGATCCCTCTGCCTCAGCCTTCCAAGTACCTGGGATTATAGGTGTGCACCACCACACCCAACTTATTTCCACCTTTTGACGTGTTTCTCACTACATAAGTTTCCTTCATGTCAGAACTGAATCTCCCCATTCCCTTGAGCTGAGTGGTGCCTGTGTGGCTCCATCATCTAAGATACTCGAGCAATTACCTTTGTCGGTTGGATTGGTTGAAGTCAGTATATATGTGACTTTAAAGGAGTAAATTTATTCTAATGTCCAAACCCAAGCCACTCTAGGAACTCCTCAAGAGTGTGGGAGCTCTCATGAAAAGGCTTGCCTCTGTCAACCTTCCAAAACAGTGTCAACCTTCCAAGGTAGCACATGTGCACAGAAGGATGTGGGCCAGTGTGGGAACAGGCTGTGATAGACTCACCATTTCCGATTTTCCCTCTGAAAGTCCAGTCCCTGCCAAACTGTTTTAAAGTTAATAACTTCCTTGGAAACCATTTCTATGTGATGCTAAAGTACAGAGCTGTCCGCTGTCCCTCTCCAAAAGGATCCCCCCATCCTGAGACAAGGAAAGATACTAGCCATGTGGAAGCCTAAGGGTCTTATTCAAGATCCACTTTAACACAGCTTTAAATTTCCTATATTCCAAATAGTAGACGTCCTTTAAGGCTCAGACATCTAGGCACAGATGTAGATCATTTCAATCACTGCAAAAGTTCTCCTGGACAGCTCTGTCTAAATTCATTTTTTTTGTGTAGCATTCTATCCCACCTCCAAAAGTTTAAACAATATATAATAATACTATCATGGCATTTTATATACCATAAAACTGTGTGCAATATAAAATCATGCTCTATGACCTCTTTAAAACCTGACCCAGTGTTGAAAGAGACTTTTGGAGAGCAAAGGGACAGTCTCCCATGATGTCTTCAGGTGGTGGCACTAGGAATCAGAGGTTAGGGAGGTAGTGTGCTCCCTGTGGGGTGTGGGGTATGTATGGACTGAATACTGGTGATGAGTATAGGGGATAATATCCTCCAGGTGCATCCTTTCTAACTCGGAGGTCTCTGGACCATCCCAAACCCCGACAATGGAGAGGCTTTTCTTTACCTTCTTTGACTACTCACCTGTACAGGATCTAAAGATGAGTTTAAACCTAGATGAGGATGAACCAGATCTAAATTTTTCAGGCCCAATTGTCAGGGTTTAGGGAATGAGCTCTCTCAAATCTGAGAGAAATGCCTAACTGCAGGATGGCAATCTACATCTTTGTAAAAGGGAAACTGAGCAAGCTCTCCCGAGTCCTATAGTTTCTGGGGTAGAATGGAGAATGGGGTCCCAAAACTTCAAGGTAATTTTGTGGAGAGTGAGAAAGTCATAGTTTTGAGACCCAGAGGCTTTGACTCTCTGTATTTCCTTTCTTTTTTTTTGGGGGGGGGGAGGGGTTGGTACACCATTCCTAGAAGAGCTGCAAAAGCGTCTGCATTTCTACCTGTAATTACTATGTGGCTTCTTTTTCAATATAATGAGAGCAATTGTTAAATTCTTAGTACACTTTAATTAAAATTATATTCTTTTCAACATATGAATAATAGTCTTAGAGCTATACAGAGAGGTATAATGGGCTAATTTTTGTACAAAAAATATGGTCTTGTATTATCTGTTAATTTTTCTCTAAAATAGTTTAGAATTACTACAAGATTTATATCCAAGCCTAAAAAATTAATTCCACTATCTATATTATCATGACTCTACTGAATTACTATAGACCCATGAAGCAAAATTTTAAAAATGGACATATGAGAGCGCCCCAGCCAGTTAACAATAAATCTCTGATGGTCATTAATCTGGGATCCCCAAGATGCCAGCCCTTCTGTTGACCCTCCTGTCTGGCCCCAATACTATGCTCCTCTTCTGCACAAATTTCCCTGGTTATTCAGAGGAGAGTTACCTTTTTATAAGAATACTGAGGAAAAGTAGTAACCAACCACCAGAGTATGAATGTAGCGTTCAGCTAACGTGTATTTTCATTCATTCACTTGCTTAATAGACATCTGTTCTATGTCAAGGATTGTTCTAGATGTTGTGGCTATAGCAGTGAGCACAGCGGGCAAAGCCCCTCCTTTCATTTTTTTTTCCTATTTTTAAAATTTATTCCAATTAGTCACATATGGCAGCAGAATGCATCTCAACACATTGTACACAGATGGAGCATAACTTCCCATTCCTCTGGCTGTACACAGTGCAGAGTCACACCAGTAGTGCAATCATACATACATAGATAGGGTAAAAATGGCCTTCTCACTCCACTATCCTTCCCATCCCCACCGCCCGACCCCTCCTCTAATTCCCCTCTCCAAAATACAAAGTTCCTTCATTCCTCCCTCCCTTCTCCACCCTATCCCACTATGGATCAGCATCTACTTATCAGAGAAAACATTAAGCATTTGTTTTGGGGGGGATTGGTTTATTTCACTTAACACAATATTCTCTAGTTCCATCCATTTACCTACAAATGCCATGATTTCATTCTTCTTTAAGGCTGAGTAATATTCCATTGTTTATATGGACCATAATTTCTATATCCTTCCATCTGTTGAAGGGAATCTAGGTTGGTTTCATAGGTTAGCTATTGTGAATTGAGCTGCTATAAACACTGATGTGGCTGTGTCCCCGTAGTATGCTGTTTTTAAGTTCCTTGGGTATAAACTGAGGGGTGGGATAGCTAGGTTAAAATGGTGGTTCCATTCCAAGTTTTCTGAGGTTTCTCCATACTGCTTTCCATATTGGCTGCACCAATTTGCAGTCCCAACACAATGTATGAGTGTACCTTTCCCCACACAGCCTCACCAACACTTATTATTGCTTGTATTCTTGATAATTGCCATTCCAACTGGAGTGAAATGAACTCTTAGAGTAGTTTTGATTTGTATTTCTCTAATTGATAGAAATGATGAACATTTTTTCATATATTTGTGGATCAATTATATTTCTTCTTCTGTGAAGTGTTTGTTTAGTTCCTTAGCCCATTTATTGATTGTGTTATTTGTTTTTTGTATCTTAAGTTTTTTGAGTTCTTTATATATGCTGGAGATTAGTGCTCTATCTGAGGTGCATGTGGTAAAGATTTTTTCCCATTCTGTAGGCGCTCATCACACTACTGATTGTTTTCTTTGCGGAGAAGAAGCTTTTTAGTTTGAGTCCATCCCATTTATTTATTCTTCTTGAACTTTAGGAGTCTTGTTAAGGAAGTCAGGTCCTAAGCCAACATGATGAAGATTTGGACCTACATTTTATTCTGTTAGGTGCAGGGTCTCTGTTCTAGTCCCTAAGTCTTTGACCTACTTTGAGTTGATTTTTGGGCAGGGTGAGACATAGAGATTTGATTTCATTTTGCAACATATGGATTTCCAGTTTTCCTAGTACCATTTGTTGAATAGGTTATCTTTTCTCCAATGTATGTTTCTGGCGCCTTTGTCTGGTATAAGATAACCGTATTTACATGGACTTGTCTCTGCATCTTCTATTTTGTATCAGTGGTCTACATGTCTATTATGGTACCAATACCCATGCCATTTTTTTTTTAAAGAGAGGAGGGGGGAGGGAGGGAGGGAGAGAGAATCTTTTTTTTTTTTTTTTTTTGGTAGATGGACACAACACAATGCCTTTATTTATTTATTTTTTTATGTGATACTGAGAATCGAACCCGGGTCCCACCCATGCTAGTTGAGTGCTCAGCCGCTGAGCCAAATCCCAGCCCAACCGTGCCATTTTTGATACGATTGCTCAGTAGTATAGTTTAAGGACTAGTATTGTGATACCTCCTGCTTTACTCTTCTTGCTTAGGACTGCCTTGGCTATTTTGAGTCTCTTAATTTTCCAAATGAATTTCATGATTGCTTTTTCTAGTTCTATGAAGAATGTTGCTAAGATTTAATAGGAATCGCATTAAATCTGTATAATAGTTTTGGTAGAATAAAGCCCCTCCTTTCATTCATTTTGAGTCTGCTGAAGGGCAAGGGAACAAACAATAAGTACTAAGAGGAGGCTAAGTACTGTGCTAAGTACTCTTGGGATGGCTAAAACGGGGTAAAGGGCTAGAAAATGAAGGAGGGTGCTGTTTTATAGACACATAAGAGACGTTATCACCAAGGGAACAGGGACCCTCTGGAAACAGGGGAGTGTGCCCCAGTAAATGCCAGTGTCAAAACAGACAAAAGCCAATCGGTTCTCATGACAAGCTATTATGTGCTCAGTACCGTGCTGGTCTGTGAAGGATGAAGTACGGACTTCACAGGAAAGACAGCAGGACAGAGATATCATGCACTCATGGATGCTTGAGCACTAACTCTGCCACCTGGGTGACTCTGCTGTTACCAGCCAGGTGACCTCAGGCAGGTCCCCATGTCTCAGTTCCTCAGCTGTAGGGTGAGTAGAATAAAATGGCACTGATTCTCCAGAGTTGTTGGGAAGACTAATAGTTAACATGTGGAACACCCTCACCAAGTACTCACCCAGTGATTGTTGTGATGTTGTGGCCACAATACTTTCATCCACCATCTCTGATAATACTGTGCTCTCATCAAGGCCATGCTTCACAACAGACCTCAAACCCTTCGTGGCAAAATTTCTGATCAGACCAATATGATGATGAAGAGACTGATACTTTTTGACCATCTGGGTTCTCCACATCAGTGGCTCTCAACCAGAGGGGACTTGGTTCCCCAGGTGACATTTGGCTCTG